TCGAGGTCAGGAGTTCAAAAACCAGCCTGAGCGAGACCCCGTCTCTACTAAAAATAGAAAGAAATTAATTGACCAACTAAAAGTATATATACAAAAAATTAGTCGGGCATGGTGGTGCATGCCTGTAGTCCCAGCTACTCGGGAGGCTGAGGCAGGAGGATCACTTGAGCCCAGGAGTTTGAGGTTGCTGTGAGCTAGGCCACGGCACTCACTCTAGCCTGGGCAACAAAAGTGAGACTCTGTCTCAAAAAAAAAAAAAAAAAAAAAAAAGTTGAACTAAATAATAATGAAAATACAGTATATCAAAATTTTATTTGATTTCTAAATATTTTGAAAATTTCCAAAGACCTTACTAATTTCTAATTTAATTCCATTTTGGTCAGAAAACATACTCTATAATATATCAATCTTTTGAAATGTATTGAGACTTATTATTTTACTAAGCATATGATCCATCTTGATGAATGTTTCATATACACTTGGGAGGAAAATTAGTATTTAGCAGTTTTTATGTATAGTATTCTATAAATGTCAATTCAGCCAAGGAAGTCAATAGTCTCATTTAAATCTTCTATATTCTAACTAAATTTTAGTATAACAAGGCTACAAATACTGAGATAAAATATGCAACTATGATTGTGAATTTGTCTATTTCTTGATTTTGTTCTGTCCGTTTTTTCTCTGTGCATTTTGAAGCTCTATTATTAGATTTGGTACAGATTACAATAATTATTACTAATTATTATTAGATTTTAGTACATATTTATAATTATTATGCTTCCTTAATGTATTGAATCCTTCTTCATTATGCAATATCCCTTTACTTCTGGTAATATTTTTTGTCTTGAAGGATATTTTTTGTCTTGAAGTCTATATTTTTTGTCTTGAAGGATATATTTTGTTTGATATTAATATAGCAACTCCACCTTTCCGATGAATCATGTTTGAATGGTATACCAGTCAGGGTTTTACCAGAGAAACAGAACCTGCCAGAGATCTATTTCTATATAGATACAGATATGTATATATCTAGAGAGAGAGAGAAAATTTCAAGGACTTTACTTATGTCATGTGGGGCTAGCAAATCTGAAATCTGTAGGGTAGGGCAAGCTGGTAGGCTGGAAAATCCCCAGCAGTTGCTGAGGCAGTAGGTAAAATTTCTTCTTCCCCTGGGAAACCTCATTTTGCTCTTGAAATCTTTCAACTGATTGGATAAGACCCACCTGGATTGTGGAAGATAATCTCCCTTACTTTAATATGCAATATACATTCACAGCAACACCTAGATCAGCGTTTCATTGGCTACCTAAGTGGGTACTATAGCCAAGCCAGGTTGACATGTAAAATGAACCATCACAAATGGTGTATTTTTTTCCATCCTTATATTTTCAAACTGTTAGTGTTTTTGTATTTGAACCACATCTCTTATAGTCAGCACAAACCTAGGTCCTTCTTCTTTGTTCAGTTGGATTATCTGTACCTTTTAATTAAAGTGTTTAATTTATCAATTTTATCAATAATCTATCAAATCACCTTTGGTATAATAATTGATAAATTTGGGTTTAGGTCTGCCATTTCCTATTTGCTGTCTATTTATTTCATCTGTTTTCTTATTCATTTGTTCTTTCTTTCCTGACTTCTTTGGAATTAATCAAGTATTTTTAGTATTTAATTGTGATTTCTCTGTTAACTTTTTGACATTTTTCTTTGCATTTTAGGAATTGTTCCAGCTATTACAATATGCATCTTTACTTACTGCAATGTACTTAAAGTTAATATTGTAGTCCTTCACATAAAATACAGGAATCTGTTGCAACAGGAATATTTCCATTTCCATTTACCCCCACTCTGCACTGCTTTTGTCATATATATTAACTTACATAGGTAATAAATCCCTCATGACAGTTTATTTTTTGCTTTAAACAGTCATATGTGTTTTAAATAATTTAAGATAAGACAAAATATTAATAGTCTTCTATATTTACCCACATATTTACCGTATCTGATGATTTTTATTTTTCCTGAAAATGTGAGTTTCCATCTGGCAGCATTTTCCATCAATCAGCCTGAAAAACCTCTTTTACCATTTCCTGTAGCGTAGTTGTGCTTCTAACAAATTCTTTTCTTTTTTATCTTAAAATGTATTTATTTTGCTTTCATTTTCGAAAACAGTTTTGCCAAATATAGAGCTCTGGGTTGTCAGGGTTTAGTTTTGTTTTTTTTTCTTTTCCCTTTCAGCATTTTAAATATGTTTCCCAGTCATGCTGTGACTTCTATCATTCCTTATGAGAACTTGGCCATCATTTGTACCATTATTCCTCTCTGATGCTTTTGTATATTCTATCTTTGAATTTTATCAGTTTGATTCTCGGGTGCGTAGGTGTGGTTTTTTATGTATTTATCTGGCTTGGCATTTGCTGAGCTACTTGGATCTCTATGTTGTTATCTTTCACCAAGTTTATGAAGCTTTTGGCCATTACTTCTTTAAATGTTTGTCTGACCCATTCTCTCTCTCCTTTCCTTCTCTGACTCCAGTTACATTCATCTTAAAGTGCTCGATGTTGTTCCACAGATCATTCCAGTGCTCTTCATTTTTCTTTAATATTTTCCTCTTTGTCTTTCAGGTAGAATAATTTCTATTGGTCTATATACAAGTTCACTAACTCTGTTTCCTTCCATCTCCAATCTGCTATTAAGCTCATCCAGTAAATGTTTTATTTCATTTTTTTGTGTGTGGTTTTTCTTTCTTTTTTTTTTTTTTTTTTTTTTTTTTGTAATTTTCAGCTCCAGATTTTCATTTGGTTCTTTTATTAGAGCACGTTTTTTTCTGCTGAGATTCCCCATCTGTTCCTTCATAATCAATATATTTTCCTTTAAGTTCTCAAATATATTTATAACAGTTGCCTTAAAATCTGTGTCTGCTAATTGCAATATCTGGATCATCTCTGGGTTGGAGTCAACTAACTGATTATTTTTTAATTGAGTATGGATCATGTTTTCCTGTTTCTTTGCATGTCTAGTGAGTGCTGATTAGATACTGGACATTAGGAATCATATGTTATAGAGACTCTGTTATATTTCTTTGAAGGGAAATGTTTATTCTAGCTGTAAGTTAACTTGGCAAGACTCAAACTCCAGGCTCTGTCTCCCTGTAGAGAGCACATCTGAAATCTTTGCTCAGTTCTTTCAGCTTCTAGCCATGACTTTTTTGCCATGCCTCCTGGGGTCTCCCTCATGCTTGATAGCCTAGCTTAATAGCTTAGCAATCAACCAAGGGTGTAGGTAGTTATTATACTAGACACTGGGGTTCTCCCCCTCTGAAGCTTCCTCTGTTTTAGGACCACCCCCCCCCAATTCTCTGATTGCTCTGCCCTAACACCTCAAACTAGTAAGTCTGCAGATTCCTCCACTGGATCCACTCATGTGGTTTGCCCTCAGAAAAAGGCTACAAACTCTAATTATCACTCCTTGCAGTTTATTTTTTTAAGGGCAGGCATCTCTTTGGTTTCTGCCTGCTTTTAGTCATTCTCCAATGTCTTCAAATAAATGGTTTTTACAAAAAATATTTTGTCTAGATTTTATAATTGCCATCTGCTGCTGGTAGCTGCTTGCAGTGGGAGAGAGGAAGCTAAAGCTATTCTTCCACTACTGGAAGCCAGAACTTGAATATCTCTTTTTACACAGGAGGAAACTGAGGCCCCAGAGAAATGTCACTGGCATCTTTTGTCTCATGACTAACAATCAACGTCAGTATCCAAGTGTTGCCATAGTCGATTGATGGGGGCAGGGGGCTCCTCTGATTTTTTTTTTCTATCTTGACATGCCCATATCTCCCTTCCCCTTCTCACCCTACAAACAGCTTTACTCTGTATCTCAGATGAGGTGTGAACACTTTACTGACTGTCCATTCACGAATTGCACTTGTCTTTTTCTTCAGCTCCCAGTACACCTGATGGGGCATCACGGTGGCTGTTGGCCATACAGATGCTGAATAAGACCCATGGTGGTGGTGCAGAGGCTGCACCCTGGCCATGGCAGGCTCTTGTTGTTTACCACGGAGTGCTGGGGAGGAAGGGAGGGATGCTGCGAACAGCATCTCTGGCCACGAGTGCTGAGTTTAGTCCTGAATCTGCCACATAATAGTTTTGAGACCTTATATAATCCTAATCATCATTCTAAACTTCAGTTTCCTCTGTGCGTAGAATTCACAGTATTAGGCATTGTTCCAAAGATCAAATAGAAGAGTATATACATATATATTTTGTGAACTCTAAAGTTCACAAATATGAGTCCTCCTAGTTGTTGTCAGTGCCTAACAAGGATGGCAGATGGTGACCATGGCCACACGGACACAGTGATTGTTGCCACAATTGGGGCAGAGGGGAGCCTCCAGGGGAAACCCTCCGAGAGGGAAACTGGGTAGTAAAGTCAACAGGAGGTACCTAGAGGTGCCCCAAGGATTGTTCATAAATATGAAGGTGAAAAGATCTGGAAACTCCCACATTTAGTCACAGGAACCAAGGTGCACGCAGAGAGACAGGACTGGACGGTAATCATAAGTAAAAATAAGCAGCCCAAGTGTTTGATGTGTATCCTGTTTGGAGAAAGACCATGGCAACCCCAAAGTGATGGGTGGCAGGAAGCCAGAAAAGGAACACAGAATGTTTGCATGAGATCTGGAAGTTCCTGGCAGAGACCTCCCATTTGGAGAACAGAGACACTTCTGGCACCAGGGGGGCATGTTCTGTTGGGAGACAGGGAAGTTCATCGGGCCTCACTAAGGATTTCCTGGTGACACCTCGCAACAACCGATAAAGCGTCACACGTTCTGGATCCAAGCCCACAGGGAAGCTCGAAGACCCACTCAGCATCCTAGAGAAGCACCACGTTGGCAGACCCGAGCGTCGCACGCCGCACGTTCCTCCCTGCAGCAGCCAACACGCTTGGCACGCGACTGCTCTAGCCTGTATGTGTCTCCAAGCGTCACCACATTCGTGAGGATGTCTGACAACTCCGTGAGAATCTTATATGCGACACTGGCGTTGTGCTTTCTTTTTCAGTCTCCTGGAAGTTTATCGCGAACACTTCCCAGGAGATAGACTGCCTCAGGCTGTGCTGCCGGGATCGAGCTTCGGGATCTGAAAGCAGTGGACAGACTCCACATTGCGACAACCCCACCCTCTATGTTCACGGTAGGCGCTGTCCCTTGTGAGGGTCCAGCCAGGCACCCGACTGGACATCTTTACCTTAGCTGTGGGCATGGCAATGGCAGTTATGGTCACAGCTTACCCCTGACGTGGCAAACCTGGACGGAGTCTCGGGACAGCCACACTCTGTGTGGGGGAAGGGGCCTCTGCAAGGGAAGGGGGTCTGCAATCCAACCAGCGATGACCTGAGGTGGCTGCAGGGAGGAGGAAGGAGTTGGCCCAACGCCTGAGTCCCACATACACCTTGCATTTGTGTGACCCTGGGCTTGTCAGGAGCCGCCTGACTGCTCTCCACATAGCTCACTCAGATTTGTTCTCCACACAGCAAGCAGCCAGAGGATCTTCCTGAAATGTAAATTGGATCTTCCCCCCACCTCCCTCCTTCATGCCCCTACCCAACCTAAATCCCTTTGATGGCTTCCCATTGCTCTCAGGATAGAGACCCAGTCCTTAAGATGGTCCAAGACCCTACAAAGCCTGGCCCCGCCATTGCATCCTCTGAGCTTGGCGCACAGTAGGTGCTTAGCGAATGAATGACTGTCCTCGGGCCAGTGACTTAACAGCTGAGTGTTACCCTAATAACCTCCTTATTTTGTGAAGCAGACCAAATGCGCCAACTCAAATGAAAACGCTCCCTAAAGCTGTCAAGGGCTTTGGAGTGGTGGGCGTTCTTCTCTCTAAAATGAAATGTGGGAAGGTTGGACGTGAAAGACTGCCCAAGGGGCGCAGCTGGGGCATGGAGGGGGCACAGCTGGGGCATGGAGGGGGCGCAGCTGGGGCATGGAGGGGGCACAGCTGGGGCATGGAGGGGGCGCAGCTGGGGGTAGAGGGGGCGCAGCTGGGGCATGGAGGGGGCGCAGAGGGGATGAGGGACACCCATCCCAGAGTGGCAAGGCCACGCACACACGTGGGAGCGGTGGGAAGCCAGCAGCACCCCGGCTCTCAGCGCTCCCAGGCCTGCCCTGGCTCGCTTGGCTTTGATGGCCACTCCCACCCCCCATAAAGGCCGATTTCATGGGCAACGCCAGCATGGGCTTTGTGTCCGCCCCCAGCTTCCCTGCAGCAGACAAGGGCTGCTCTGCAATCCCCCGCCTGGCCAGCTCATTTTTTTTGTTGTTCTAAAAGCTAGTGTGTGCTGGGTGTGCACTTCGTGTGCTGAGAGTGCGCTTCGTGGTGGGAGTGCTGAGTCTCACTCATTAAGTACCCCAGTTTCTGTCTCTGGGTCAGTTTCCTTGGCCCTGGGCCCCCTCCCCTCTTTGCAGGTAGGCACCATGTCGCATTAATTCATTTCCCAACCCTACACCAGCCGCTGCCTGGCACAGAGCAGCGCCCAGCAAAGGCTGCTGGAGGAGCAAATGAGCTCACATAGTGCTCACAAGCGCCCTCTGCCGTGGGCATTTAGTCTTGTCATCGACGTGATGAGGAATTCGGGGAAGTGCCCGCTCCGGGAACACGCAGCTTATAAAAGTGTGCTGGTGCTGGGATGCTGACGGGCTGGAACGAGCTTCTCAGGAGGTTCCCTGAGCTTGGTGTCTTTGCATAGCTCGCTTCACGGCAGAGAGAGCCCACCTGACAGACGAGCCTACCCCACCGGCCAGGAGCAGAGCAATGCCATGGGGAATGGCTGTCTCTGCCCGGCCCTGAGTGGCCGCAAGGGTGGCCACTGTGGAAACAGCATCTGCGGCCGAGGCCCAGCTCTCTCACCTTTTCACAGCGCCGCATGGGAGAAAATGACACTATCCTGTGGCACACTGGCGGAAGGTGACGGGCTGGGGGAAAGGACCATCTCGAGCAGGCATCCTCAAACTATGGCCCGAGGGCCACATGCGGGGCCGCCTAGCACATTTATCCGGCCCTCTGGGTATTTTTGCCGAGGCTGCCTGTCCTGCTTAGCAGCCGACTCGTCCCGGGCCCACAGTGCGCACTCTCCAACGGTCTGAGGGACAGTGAACCGGCTCCCTGTTTAAGAAGTTTGAGGACCCCTGATCTGGAGGGTCGGGCAAGGGGAGATCTCCATCTTTACGACACATGTAACGCATTCTTGGCACCCTGGCATACCATGCCCACAGGACTCTGCTCTCAGCAGGTGGGGCTGTGCGACTTCTGATCCCCCTGACCAAGGCTCTCTGCCTCTCACACGGAGCCCCGAGACATGGCCTTCCCCTCCTCACAGCCTGCCCCCATCTCCCTAAGCCCCTCTGCCCATCAGACTTGGAGCCTCCTCCCCTGCCCCCACTCTCCCTCTTTCTGTCGAGCCCATCAGAGAGTGTCAGGTTGCCTGGGTTCAAATCCTGGCTCCATGATGTTCTCACTGTGTGATGTTGGGCTGATTCGTTTATGTCTTTGCCTCAGTTTTCTCATCTGTGAAATGGGAGACATGATGGCATCTGTCTCCCTAGCGTAGTCGTGCAGGATCGTGGGACACACACTGTTGCAGACACAAAGGAATATCGGCTCTTGTTATTACCCACCTCCCCCACAACACACACGGCTCGGGAACTTTACCCACAGCTGACGCGTAACGCCCAGCCTGTCCCTTACAGTCAGCTCTCAGCCTGAATCGTGCCTTCAGCAAACCGTGGTGCAGGGCACGTGGCAGAGTAGACAAGATCCTGGGGACGACCCGCTGGCTCGGCAGAGTCCACACTGACCGCAGCTGGGAATCGGCCTGCACATTTAGGAGCCGAGGACTAAGCAATGCGTACATCGCCTGCTGGGTCCGTGGCGTCCATCAGGACAGCAGCCCACTGGGCAGTGGGGACCGGCCTCTGAGCTGGTCATCTGGGCACCCTAGGAAACAGTCTCGGAAACTCCCCCTCCTTCATCTTCCCATGGAACTTGGCCTAGCAGGGGGATGGATGTCTGTGCCGCCATGCAACCGACTTCCACCCTGTAAGTCTTTTCTGGTATCCAACTTCAATCCCTCCTGCTGTAGTTAACTCGTGAACTATGCTCCGGCCTGAGAGGTGACGAGCAAAGGATTGTCACTCTCTTCCCCAGCCTCGCCCAGGGAAGGTAGTCATCAAGCAAAGGAGAGAGGAGGCGTTCTTGAACATCAGAGCGAACGCATGAGAAGAGGACAGTTCAGGGACTTCCAGCTGGCCCTTCCTCAGGGGCCAGAAGCCTGGCACCCAGACAGATGCCCTGCAGCTCAGCCTGCCCAGCTGCAGGTATGGCCCATCAGGGGAGGCAGCCTGGCACACTGTGGCACATCTGGTTCCCTTGTCCATAACAGATGTGCATGGACATCTACACACTGCCCAGCCCTGCCACTGTCAGACTGCGAAGGGTCCCGGACTGGGTGAAGCCAGGGAAGCAGCTGGGGCCTGAGCTCCAAGATACTGGCCTGGGGGCCTGGCCTCCTGGGATTTGGCTTTGGCATGATCCAAGATGAGGTCCCAGTCTGGTTCTTGGGGCCAGGATCCAGGCACAGGAGGCCACCTCTATCCCCAGGGGACTGAATCAAACCAGGACCCAGACAGTGGCTGCTTATCTGCCCAGCTGGCTCCAGAGGAGGCAGGGACACTCTGCTGTGCCTCTTAGGGTGAAGGGAGAAAACAAGGAGTGGCAGCAGGCAGCTCCCCTGAACACAGCCGGGGCCCCCAAGTGGGGCCACAGACACACAGGGCTGCTCTTGCCCTCCCACCCTAGCAATTCCTTGTGGCCCTCCTTGGGTAACCAGGAGTAGAAGGATAGAAAAGTAGGTGGGCAGCTGGCCCCATGAGGAGCCTCCTGTCCCTCCAGTGTCCCAGACAGGCGGGAAAGCAGAAGCTGGAGGGGCTGTCTCTGAGGGCCTTGGAGGAATAAAACCATGCCACATGCCCCTCGCTTGCTGCGGGCCTGGGCACAAGCCCCAGTCTGGAGACAGGGTGGTCTGAGCAGTGTCTGAGCTCAGAGATGAGGCATGAGTCCCCCAGCCCACTCTCAGCTCTGTCCTCTGCCGGTTCAGCCTTGCCGGGTCCCTTGGATTCTCCAAGCCTATGATCTTCTCTTCCAAAGGGAAGGGAGAAAGTCTATTCCTGGTGCCTGGTCCCCAGGGAAGGTAGGGGAAGGGGCAGAGAAGGAAACAGAAGAGGCGGCACCAGCACCTTTTCCCACCTGCCAGAGATCCTGCTCTCTCGCTCTCTCATTGGCCAGAAAACCAGGTGTGGCCGATCAGCTCTCTCTTGCCCCTCCTGACGTGAGATCTAACTCACACCTTCTCCATCTCGGACACACAACAGTCCAAACTCCCCTGCTTTCTATGGAGCAGAGTTGCAGGGACCCGGATTAAAACCCTGTGGCATCAGTCCCTTACTAGTTATGTGACACTGAGCAAGACGTAACCAACCGCTGTACCAACGGCCGGCCTTTTTTGGCTGTGATTATGAGCCAGACCCTGGCATAAGCGTTTGCCCCCAGCCCTGCAACAACCTTATCAAGTATCAAGAACCAGGGTGGGGCCTCACCTTGGAGCATGCCAGAGCCAGCCCCCAGGAGGCCAGGCCCCCAGGCAAGTGTCTTGGGGCTCAGGTGGGAAAACCGAGGTTCCAAGAGGTTACGCAAGTTGCCACTGTCACACAGCTGGTAAGTGGGGGAGCTAGAAGCTGGCGGGCGGCAGAGTCCGGGCCACTATCCACTCTGAAGGAGGCGCTGGCATGCTGCCCTCCCAGAGCATCGGGCAGGCAGAGAGGAGATCTCTAGGGAAAGCCGCTGCCCAGCACAGGTGGGAACTCAGAGAAGGCTCCCTCCCCGCTTCCCCTTTCTTTGCCCCATCACCTTTCAGAGGGAACCAAGCTGTGGTTCCTCATTCTCACCACAGGGTGTCTCCACGCCACTGCTCCACCAGCCGCCAGGGCCTGGCTGCCTTTGACTCAGCCCTTCCGTGGTCTGGCCCAAATCCCGCCTGCTACTAGTTAGCCCCTTCCTTCTGTTTTGCCTTCAGGGGAGACGGGCGCTAACTCCTGGGGAGCGTGAGGGCTGTCAGCAGCCCACGCCCCGCCTTGTTGGGTTCAATGGCCTGGAACAGAAGTGTCATTCTCCACGTGGCCTCTCTGAGCTCTGAGTTCCCCCACAGCTTGCCGGCTGGTCAGGAGGCTCAGCTGGGGCCTCATCCCTGGGGGGTCTTGGAGAAAGAGCTTTGGGGAAAGCCTGGGCCCTCCTAGGTGGGCCTGCACCTGCCTGGACCTGTCCCGGGACCCTCCCTTGGCCTGGCATGGCAACTGCTGACTTCTCTATTGCTTCTTGTCTTCCGCAACCCATGTTCTCATGAACTTCCCCCGGGAGGGCAATCAGAAGAGGGCTGATTACCTCCTTTTGGAAGATTCAATGAGACTATGTAGGTAAAAAATAATTTTGTGAGCTCTTTATTGCAATATAAATGTAGGTTACCAACAATAGGGAAACTGAGGCTCCACAAGGTTAAATGACTTTTTTCAAAGCCACACAGCAAGTCGGCAGTCGCCCCAGGAGAGAGGAGCCCAGGCCTCCTGATTCCAACCTAAGCCATTCTCCCAAGACACCGCACTTGGCTTTACGATGACCTCCTCCGTGTGACCTAATGCAGGGCATTGAAAGGGCAGCAGAACAGAGGTCCCGAGGAGGGAGAGGAAGCTGGGGGTGAAGGGGTTAAGGGGCCTGGAGCCAGCATGGCTGAAGACTATTAGCAGACCAGGGAGGGGCCTGGCTTTGATTAGGCCCCCAAAGCCATCTGGAGAATCAGACTCTGGAGATGTGTTGGTTTTATGGGGGCAGATGGCATGAATTACAGGGGCTTTCATGGGGCACAGGAATCCTTCCCACAGTGCCTCTGAAAGGGGCTGCAGTGGGGACCTTGTCCCCAGCAATCTCGTCTGCTCCAGCCTGCTGTGCCTCGCTGTGTATGGCACAATACCCCCTCTCCACCCCCCACAGCCACCCCCGAGGCATCTGAGAGGATGCACCCAGGCCCAAAGGAGAGGGAGACCCTCTGGTCTCCACAGGAGCCGTGTCAGGATGGCGGTGCCTGCCTGGAGCCACCGCATGATGGCAAATCAACATCTGGCCCAGTGAATCGTGAGCAGCCGGTTGAGCACGGCCATGTCCCATCTGACTCCAAGCCAACTGCAGGAAATTGGACAGCCATCAAATCACAGCCTTGATGGTGAGGGGCTTGGTGACCATCCTGTCCCAACATTTCAGCAGAGGCCCAGGGCCACATGGCTGACTGAACTTGGCACTGGACTGGAACCCTGAACTCCTCCTGGCTCTTAAACCAGTGCCTTTTTGTGACCACACTCCATCATCACACAGCCTCTCTGCGTCTGTGTCCTCAGCTAACCTGCAACACCTGTTTGGCCTCCCTCACAGCTGAAATGGAATGAAATGTTGGCCGCAAAAGGTTTTGAAAAGTTAAAACCATGACACAAATGATTGCAGCATTATTGCGGCTTCACGAGCAGGAACTGGGAGTCCCGTGGAGTTGCCTGGGAGTGGGCTACTGGCTCTGCCCCGTGGAAAAGCTCAGCTGACACCCCTGGCCCACACAGGCCCTCTTCATTTTGGCTCAGCCCAAGCAAACATCACTAGGAGGATGTGTCCTTCTGCAAAACAAACAAACAAAAAGCCCTCTCTTCATGCATCCCAAAGCCCAACAAAAATTATTTTCAATCACCCCCTGGGGGAATTCTCCCCACAATTGCATCTGATTCCTGTGTGGGTAGGGGGTGGGATGGAGGGATCAGGGATAGAGGGTTGACAACTCATTCACATACCACTTTGGATACAATCTTAGCTATTCAGAAAACAACCTAAGCAATGTCTATCAAACTTAAAGTACATCTCTCAGATGCAGCAATTCTTCTTCTAGAAACTTATCCCTCAGTTGAATTTGCACACATGTGCTTGTACAGCACTGTCCCTTGCAGCTTTGTTTGTAATAACAAAAGACTGAAAATAACCTAAATGTCACCATTAGAGGATGGGTAAATAAATTATGGTAACAATACTAACAGCAGGCAAAGAATGGAGTAGATTTATATGTGTATACAAATGAAATAATTACATAAAGATCTCTAAGATATGTTAAGAACACATTATATATGGAACAGTATATGTACTATGTTCTTGTTCATGGCCAAAGAAAGATATATATAAAACACGGAAAATTCCATGTAATGGAATTCAATTTGTAGCCCCAAACCTATTAACATAAAAAAATTTAATAAAAATTTTTTAAAAAACAAAAAATTTCTGAATGATACGCAAAATGCTGTTAAATAGGAGTTGCCTCCAGGTTGGAAGACAGGTGGCCTGCAGTAAAGGGAGACTTACTCTTCATTATATTCCTATTTTAGTGTATGTATATGCTGTGTTTTCTTCAATTAAATGAAGAGGGGTTTCTCTACACTTACAGAACTTAAAAAAAAAAAAAAAAAAAAAAAAAAAAAAATGAAGAGGGGGGGGAAAAGAAAGCAGACGAGAAAAATAAGTGCTTGGGCTTAACCACATTTCCTAACTCTGTCCACCTTCCAAGTCTTACTCCTGCTCCCTTCCACCCAGTTTGGACCCACTGCACCTATAAGCCTCAGGTTCCCCCACTGCCACTGCCCTTCCTTCTATGAGGACCAAGGCTTCCCTTTCATGCCCAGCCACAAGAAGCCTCAAGGGTCCCCACACAAGGACCTCAAATGC